AATCAACCAGTTACTCAACCGTTCAGCAACATCAGTAACAACCAAGATAATCCTTATGGTCAACTTACCACTGCTTATCAAAATGAAAACGCCTATGAACTTCTTGGGAAAGCTGAAGGAAATGTTTCAACTAAATAGTATTATTTATGAACAGTATTTATCAACTATCGTTTTATTACTACAAGACTCGATCTTCAACTGTCCCATTGATTCGCTGTTTTATGAAAAGTGTTTGTTTATATTAAGTTGATTTTAATGTTACAATATAACAAGTCCTTATAATATAAATTGAATTTCACCACAATTACACAATTCCTATGTCGGGTATCGGCGAGACGGGGTTGACCACCTTGCCATAACATCTAATACAGTCTGTCATAACAAGACCCTTGTTAGTGATGTAGTTCCTTCATTGTTAAAATAAATTAACTTCTCTATTTATCTGCTCCTATTCTATGTGGAAATCAGATGGTATGGTAAAACTCCTAGGGAAAGATATTTTGTTTATGATGTAAATTAGAATATATAGAGATAAATTCCATTTCCCATCTTCTCTGATGTCCAAGTATATTTATAATGTCGTTTATAGTGTTACCGCTATTTCCCCGTCCTTGTTGTTGCCAGCCTACATACATACATACATGTATGTTTGTCATTTTCTGTTTTCATGTATTAATCTTGATTGGATATGTTTTTAATGTTATGATAGCTTTTCGTGTTGTTAGTCAAGATTTGTTATCAATATTTAATATTTTATATATTTATGTTGCATTTCGTATTTTAAGTCAATTTTTATTATCAATATTGAACATTTTACATAAGTAATACTTATGTTGCTCTAAGTATTAAGTATTAGTGTCATTTATTGTAGATATAGCTTGTAATTGTTTGGCAACAACAAGTAATTGCTTCGCTTAATAAAATATATTACTACTTGAATTTATTAGCACCTTAAAGCGGATGAATGGTGTACCTACAGAATTCTACCTTAAACTTTGTTATTTTTTGAACGGGGTCTTTATGTAAATTTAGTTTGACTGTAACAACTGTATCGATCGTCGCTGTTGAGACACGATTTGATCCTCTTGGTTTACCTTGTACCTGGATTATTAATCGCCTACAAATATGCAGATACCATCCTGGATAGTCCACAATACTATTCACATTATCGCTTGCAAAAATTATCAAGTATGATTGTGGACAAATTCATCAAAGATTAAAAGTCAATTGTTAATCACACATTTAAAGACATATTATATTTCTTTCAAAAGATTTAAAAAGTTTCTTTGTCGATTCTTATCATTTTCAGTATAATGAATATTACATTTCAGATTGTTCACTATTCAAAACATATACAACAACAGTTTTTATTATGCATTTGGTTAAGTAAATATCAATACTATCCAGACCAGACTATTTAGATAATACAAGAGGGAAGGTGCGGGGGTCAAACATGAGGTGTTTCTCCGAGGCGAGGCCCGAAGCTACTTGAGGCTGGGGGTTGCAAAAAAAGACTTCACAGGCCTGAAAAATGGGGGGTGTTATTGCTTATTACTATTTATACCAATTTGGAAAGCTAAGATATATTGAAAGTTACTCTCCTTGTCACGTGTCAGAGACGCAGGTTAGAAAGGCAGCTTGTGAATGTTACATGCCTATCGGCCCATGCTGCTGAGAGGACAAAATCATTCTCATTTAAGTCGTTTCCGCTCATTGTAAGCTTCATCTCCAATTTAGTTGACACCATTTCATTAGACCTACCAGATAGAAAAAAATAGATCGTAAATTCCCATTACACTTCAACACAAGTCAGTGTGTTTGTAACAATAATATCTCTTTGAAATAGCCATAAAAAATTTCTTTCATTTAATATGCATATTATATAGTATTCATATATTTCTCAATGCAAAGTAAAACCCTAAAATATATTGTTGTAAAAACTTGACTGACGAGTTTCAATCAGGTTCAACTACTTTGTTTAGATATGTAAGACCGTAATCAGTTCTTTGGTTTCGGAAAAAGTAAACTTGTAGGAATAAACGTACGGAGATAGTTTTTTAATGACAGGGTAAGGTTTTTTCCTCAAGTAATCAGCAAGCGAATTGAATGACGATTTCAAAAACATTGCTCAATCATGGTAAAATATAGAGGCGGTGACGATGCAGCCGTTCAGAATGACATGACCAACATATTGCAAAACTTTAAACATACAATGTAAATATCAGACATTAATACTGAATCACTATTTGAGTAGGTAACCAGTTTGGGATACCAGTTTACTAACCTAAGATTTCGGGAAGTACCTTCAGAGATTTTAACCTGGTCTCCATCTGCCTCTGATGCAGGTCGGGGAAGCTGATAATTTAATATTATCAAACAAGCGTCAATAACTCTATAATATGATTATAAACCAAGGTCCCGTGCCCGTTAACAGAGCAAATTGAAAAGAAAAGATTTATGCTGTTATATTGGCATTTTCTCCATGGAACACTGCATCGCGTTTTCATCAGAACAAACTAGAGCAGAGATGAAAAATGCAAAACTCATTTTATTTACACTTTAGTTTACTACAATGTGGAAGTGGATAGCTGTAATGATTTGTATTATAACCTACACTCAGTGTAAGTATATTCATGTCTTTATATGATTATGATATTAAAACATATCGGTGTATATTTTAGATCACTTTCTCTAACTAGGAAATATGAAAATTATTTTCTTTTAATCTCTAGAAATAAAAGGGAGAATTATTAAATCTGTATTATATTATTAAGTACAGGTGTTAAATTTGGAGAAGATAATAGTTATACCTGTCACTGTATTAATGATGAACAATGTGATAAAGAATCTGGTGAATGTAGTGGAGGTTGTGCTGCAGGGTGGTCAGGACCTACTTGTCAAAAACGTAAGAACATTTTAGGAAGCATTCAGATATGAACGCCCTAATCTAGATTAAAACTGAAATTTTCAACCCATATTGATTGCGTTTTAGTTTCGTGGACATATTATATTTGACATTGAGTTTAAAAAATAAATCTATGATAGGACAATATCCGTATGTAATGGAAAAGATTCTAATGACAAAATATTTGTGTTTTTCACCACAAGATCACGGATATTTTTATTGAAATTGTCAACTGATTTTTTATTTGCCAATATGGCAGACTTATAACTACCTGATATGAATTGCCATAAACCCAAAGATATTATAACATTGGTCACATTTCAGTGGTAGTAACAAATCCGAACATGTTTAAGGCACACGATCGGTCTTGGTCGGAGAATTTTGTCATCATCCAATCAGATTCATTTGCCTTTCAATGGCATGCTTCGCACGTGATTGTCGACAAGGTCGAAAACAATCCTCGTGTGCCAGTGCCAGTCGTTGAAACTTAAGACAAGACTCTAATAGGCGACAAAAGTCTCAGACCAAGAACGCTCGTGTGCCGCAACCTTTAATTAATTTTATCACCGTTATAAATGAAGTAAATATTTTATAGAAAATGTAGCTCTTCGTAAGCCATCAAGTCAGGTTGAAACAAATGGTGCTAGAACTTCTGATTTAGCTGTTGATGGTGACAATACTACTAATATACCTAACAAATGTACTGATACTGGTGGTGATGAAAATACGAGAAAATGGTGGAGAGTAGATCTACTAGAAGAATATCCCATTAAATATATTATCATCTATTATCGAAACGAACGTAAGCACCAGGTTATTTCTAGAAATTAGAAAAAACTCATATAATCATAGTGTTAATAATAACATTATTCTAAGAATCACCATATATATTTCTGTAGCTTTAAACAAATAATTATTTCTGTTCATCAGTCCTGCATTCATTTTCTGGTTTCATAAAAAGAAAATTTGGAGAATGTTCCTCTTCGACTTAAATCGAGCTGAGAATAAAATTATAATACAAGGTAGCTTTGGAACATTTACTCTGTGTATGGAATGTACAGTACTAATCCCTATTTTTTATTTTGAGATTAGTTACTGTAAATCTGTTTTGTTGACAAACTCTGTCCTTTCTTTCCTTTTTTCATCAAATCATTTGACAATAATAATAACAAACATTTTAATTCTAACTTTATTTTGTGTTTCAGCTAACTGGAGTGAGTAGAAATATTACCTTACAGTAAGAATGATTTACTAATAGAGGGCAATGTTTTGTCTAGTTGTTCTAATGTTGCATGCTTGTGCTTTAATATAGATTAAAACCGATTCGACAGTTCAAATCAACAAAATAAAATCACAATTCATTAGGCGATTTTTGGAAATTAAGACTCCACTTTTATGTATCTATGTTTCTTTTTTTCAAACACATTTGCAGCTTTAACATCATTGAAGGGATTTTCACTACACATTATTAAACAGAATGAAGAACCAGAACTGTGTTATAAAGATGATAGTCCGGATGTTCCACCTGCAGTAAATAATATAGAATGTAATCAGACTATAACTGGGCGTTATGTTAATATCAGTAATTTTCATACCAGAGAAGATGGAAGATTTTTAGTCCTATGTGAAGTTGAGATTTATAGTAAGATTTTATTCAGTAGAATTTTTCAACAATTTAAACGATTCAGACTGAAAGGGACAGATGTGCAATTGTTTTTGACCAATCAAACTTAAGTCTCAAAAACGGGAATGTCTTAGCTAAGTCAATCAGTTATAATGTTCACAGCTCACCTTCAAAATTTGAGCCTTCAAATCCATGTGTGTCCAGAATTACCTGCGTTTGATTGTTAAAATCACGTCTCGTCATTTAAAGATACTTTGTGATATATAGAAAAGACATATATAGAAATAGTCAGTAAAATTCCTAGTTTGAAGTATTTTCAAAAGAATTATGCGATTTACATACATTTCTAGTATTTCTGCAGACTATTTTCATATATTCAAGACTAAAGTCAAGCCCCAAAATGGTGCATTTGTCCCTTGAACTACGTTTTGCTCCCTTGCCTGTTGTGGAGTGTTTCAGTTACAATGTATTGAATTTCAAGATATTATTCTGATTGGTGTGTAATGTACAATAATGTTATTAATGAATTGACTATACTTTTATCTACATCTTTAGAATTTCAATTCATTTTAGTATGTTCTGTAGAAACGTTTGGTTCAAATTGTACCAACTTCTGTCATTGTTTAAATAATGAAAGATGTTCAGAGAATGGTGAATGTTCTGGTAGATGTGCTGATGGATGGACAGGAACAACTTGTAGTCAACGTATTTGTATTTCTTTATGTTAATTTCTATACTAGACGAAGATAATGTGTCAAAAGCAAAAATAAAAGTATTCTGTTCAATATCTGTCCAAGAAAATCATCATCATTTTTATGTTCATTGTAGAAAATCAGTATTTCATGTTGATGAGGGTTGTTTTTTCTTGTTTCATATTTCAAATTAAACTAAGGTGTATCTAACCACATATTATATATCTTTTATCAGCATATGTTTCCTGTTTTTACATAATTAATTGAATGTATGTGCGGTGATAGTTTCATAATATCAATGTGTCGCTCAGCATAAACCCATGCACTGCACTGTATCCATGGGGTCACTATTTTAATTGAGAACCTATAAAAGTGAATCATTTGACAAAAATTTCCTTTTTCTAATAGATTGTCATAATGGTATCTATGGTACTGGATGCTTAAAACTATGTTCAGATAGAAATTGTTTAGTAGAAACATCACCATGTAATCATATCAATGGTAGCTGTCAAGGTGGATGTAAAGAAGAATTTAGTGGAATTGACTGTGTTAAAAGGCAGTACAGCAATTTACAATGTGAGTGTAAAACAGGAGAATGTATTGATGGGTGTCAACCAGGAAAACATATCCAATCTATTTTTTTATAAACCTAAATTTCATGAGTAAATAATAGATTTAACAATATTTACAGAAAACCAAAAGCAACCTTTCGGAAATAAAAAAAAATTATTGGACGTTCGGTTTTAGTCTAGATACGTTCCTGACTGAAAAATATTGAATTAACAATATTGATCATGTGAATTCCAGAAAGATGAGTCATATATTTTCTGATTTAGTTTTTTTTCCATTTCGTGGACGTTCTCTGACTTATAAAAGATAAGAATTTGTGAGTTCGTATTTAAACCATGCAGATATTTTCTGTTGTGTTTCCAGAGAGTGATAGTAGGTTTGTAGGTCAAGAGGGCTAATTTAAGACAGCTTAATTGCTCAATACTATTCGTTAAAACAGATCAAGAGTATTATTATTTTCTTAACGTATTTCAGAGTTTGTAGACTGACTTCCTTTGTTGGTAACTCACTAGATGACAGGTGTCTATCACATTTCAATTATAGTATAGTAGTTATAGGTGAAGTTTATAAATTTCCATGCGTATGTGTTTCCATTTTGCAGACAGTAATGATCAGAGTTTGATTATCATTGGAACGATTTTGGGTTTACTTATTGGTTTAGTAGCTGGGGCACTGATGGTTGTGTTTATTATGAAACGAAGGTAAGGCACGTTATAACATTGGTTCGAGGGATTCTAAAGTCATAAAAATCCACTAAAGCGTTTATTTTGATGGATGTTTTTGGCGAACTAGAGAACGACCACCGTCTGGAACTCTTTTTTATGCTTCATGGCTATCACCTGTTGACACATTTGGAAAGTCAACATAGCTAATAATTTTAATTAGTGTATTATGTTAGTAAAACAGAAATATATTCTTTACATTAATTATAGGTCAAGATCTAGGTCAAACCAGTCACAAATAGTTAGCACTGACCAGTCAAGTAGCAATATACCACAACCAGAAACAACCACCAATCAACCAGTTACTCAACTGTTCAGCAACATCAGTAACAACCAAGATAATCCTTATGGTCAACTTACCACTGCTTATCAAAATGAAAACGCTTATGAACTTCTTGGGAAAGCTGAAGGAAATGTTTCAACTAAATAGGATTATTTATGAACAGTATTTATCAACTGGCCTCATAAGTCCAGATCTTGAGTCTAAATTGAATTTCACTACAAAAATTACTGTGTCGGGTATCAGTCAGACAGGGTTGACCACCTTGCCATAATATCTGATACAGTCTGTCACAACAAGACATTATTCATTATTGCATATTATATTATATTTATGTTGCTCTTCGTATTGTTTGTTAATTTTTGTTATCAATATTGAATATTTATGTTGTTTTTAGTCTTATTGTCAGTTTTTGTCATTTATTGTAAATATTGCTTGTTTGGCAACAACAAGTAATTGCTGTGCTTAATAAAATATATTACTACTCGCATTTATTATCACCGTAACGGGAAGAATGGTTTAACCTTAAAGTTTTTTATTTTGAAACGAGGTCTTTGACTGGAACAAACTACTGTATCAATCCCCTTGGTTTACCCTGTACCTGGATTATCTCCTTTTAACATGTCATCTTGGATAGTCCGCAATATTACGCAGGTGTTTATTCACATTATCGCTTGCAAAACTTATAAAGTATGATTGTGGACAAATTCAACAAAGATTAAACGTCAATTGTTAATCATGCATTTAAATACATATTACATTTCTTTCAAAAGATTTAAAAGTTTCTTTGTCGATTCTTATCATTGTTCAATATAATGAATATTACATTTCATTTTGACCACTATTCAAAACAAATACAAGAATAAAGAATAATTGAACGATACTATCCAGACCAATAGCATAG